AAGCCCACGCAGAAGAAATGAGCAAATGATACCAAAGGCCAGCAAGTTCAGCTCCAGAAGGGCTTTTGCGTCTCCAGCTAGGAAGGGTGGGCTTGCGGAAGAAGAACCAGAAAGACAACAACAAGAAGGGTGAGCTCGCTGGAGGGCTGTAGGAAAGCCCCTGGGATCTGGGGGTTCTAAGCAGGGATGAGCGACTATCGAAGCCTCCAGAGCCGTCTCCCTGGCTGCTTGGTGGCAGGTGGGCACGGGACGGGGTGCTGAGTCAGAAGCACCGGTGGGGAGGAAGCTGGTTCAAAAACGTCAAGTGTCTGAAGCCTCAGGGGCTGCGAACTCCCTGGGGCAGGGACCCTGCTCTAGAGCATTTGCTGATGGAGTGGATGAGAGCCGGCAGGGGTGGGGGGAGCCGAGAGGGGCTCTGAGAAGCCCGGCTGCATGCAGAGACAAGAGGGAGACAGAAGGCACGGGATGGATGGATGAGTCAGGGCCGGGGGACAGACAGTGAGGGACCGCCATGGGGGACAAGTGCAGAGATACGGAGAAAAGGGTGTGTGGGGTTACGAGGTGAAAGACCGTGTTAACCATGCCTCTTTATATTCTGTATTTTCTGAGGCTTTACCATCCTGGGGCGTTGCTGATCCCAGAGACGCTGTCCCTCCCAGGGTTAGCTAATTCCTAGAAATAGGGCACAATTTCCACGAACTCCTCTGCTTACACAAAGCAGCCAGTGCAAAACCCCAAATCCCTCCCTCACAGGCTCTGCCCTGGGGCCAATATTCCCCCGCCCAACCACCCCCAACTAAGGGTAACACCTACCCTCTGGAGTTCACTGAAATTATTCAAACTACCAAGTCCTAAATCTTACCCCACCCTGTCTTGCTTTTCCCACGGAAACCACAGTAAAGGCTCCCTCTTATGGTTTCCCGTCACTTCCTCTGCCCCCTGCCGCAGCCTGGGGCTTCCCCCTGGGGCCCCGTGGGGGCCATGCCCTACCTCCTGCTCCTAGGGGACCCCTTCCTTCCGGTTTCTGTGTGTCTGGCCATCCCTGGTTGAAACAAATCCGGGTACACGTTAAGACAAAAGGATTTCAGAGAGCCCAGACAGTTGGTCAGCAAGGCCGGGTGCTGTAAGAAGTCAAGGCTGCTGAGCCTGGCCGGTGACTGTAGGGTTAAGGGGTCCCGGGTGCCGTAGAGGGGGGCTGGTGCTGGCCTGTGGAGGGCAGGGCCTCCTCTGTTAGCAGATTGGCTGCTAACGGGAAGAGGCATACCAGGCTGCTTTTCACTTTGGGGGTCCAGGCCAAGAGCTGGTGAGATTTCAGCGGGGAGGGGGCAGTGAGGTGAGCAAAGGGGAGAAGAAACCGATGAGGGACAGGGCTGGGGACCAGCCAACCCAGACCGTGCCCCTCGGAGCCGCCGTGGGACGGCTGGCCGAACGGAGGGCCCAGTGACAGAGTGCGGGTAAGGTGTGGCGGGCAGGGATGGCAGAGGGGTCTCGGGGGGTCCGGGAGGCTGGACTGGCCAGTGAGGAGAGGAGTCCGTGAGCTGGCTGTGGGTGAGCTGAGAGCACAGGGCTGGGGGACAGAGAGGAGAAGGAGATGATGGCAGGCCTCACCTTTGAGGAAGCCCTGCTGTGGGCCAAGCACCACGTGATCATTTGCAACGCCCACTAAGCGGGCTCTACACGCTAGGGCCCTAGGCCCCCACTAGGCTCTACACGAAGCGGGCTACATAACGTGCAGGTCCCAGCGTGATAGCAAATGTGGGGTTCTTTGCTAAAAAACAAACCGAAGGGGCACCTGCGCGGCTCAGCTAAGTGTCCGACTCTTGATATCCTCTGCTCAGGTCACGATCTCACGGTTTGTGGGTTCGAGCCCCCCGTCGGGCCCGCCGACAGCTCAGAGCCTGAAGCCCGCTTCGCATTCTGTGTCTCCCTCTCTCTCTGCCCCTCCCCCGCTTGCATTCTGTCTCTCCCTCTCTCAAGAATAAATAATCATTAAAAACAAAAAAAGAGGAAATATAAAGCTTTCCCTTTTTTCCCTAGCTTCCTCTTTGACTTACGGTATCTGGCATTTCCCATGTCATTCTAAGTAACAAGCAATCAAAATGTTAAATTCCTTGTTTTCCCCCGTGTTTATTTATTTTTGAGAGAGAGAGAGAGCATGAGCAGGGGAG